AAAAAAAAAAAAAAAAAGAAAGAAAGAAAGGACAACAGGGGCCAGAGTGTGCTGCAGCCACAAGATATGATACTCTGCAAGATGATCTTATGTGGTACAGTTCCTGGTTCAAGTCCGGAGACCTTTCCCGGTACATCAAGCATTGGCCTGCCTGCTCAGATCTGAGGCTGGGAGTAGATAAGGGTAGGGACCCTGTTGGGGACATTACTTCTTACTCTTGGAAGCATAGATAAACTTTGAAATGAATAAAAGAACACGTATAAAGGAAAAAAGTCATCTTTATATATATATGTATACATTAAGAATACATTTTAAAAAGTCGATCACAAAATTAATTCTGAAGTTTTGGTGTACTTATTGAAAATAGAATGTCTTTGACTAAAGATATTAAAAACTTAGAAAAGGATACATCAGCATCCACATAAGATTGCAACAACCGGATTTCTCCTTGTGAATGACATTCATATAAGGTAACCTATGAGAACAACAACAACAAAAAAAACAGTAAATTTCACCAACTACAGAAACACACTCTCTTCAGCTTTTAAATATATTTGAGTCACATTATTATCAAAATAGTACTTAAACAACTGCCTTAAAATAGCTCCTTCAAACTTAAAGCCATTATAAAGCCAATGTCATACATAATATATATATTAAATACTATAACAATGTATCTATCTCCAATCTTTTAAACTTCTTTTTCACTCATACAATTGTACCAACTCTTCAAGTTGAAAACCCCAAAGTCATTGTGGCTTATCATCCTTTAATTCATAATAAAAAAGCTATTGGGTGGCCAGCAGATGGTATGAAGATGAAGGTAGCTGGATCCCACTTGGGCAATTGCACGGTCGAAGTCCTAGATTGATAGCTTGAAAAACACGCTGGACACGTGTATGTGTGCCAAAAATCCCAAGAGGAAGGGGACTGCAGAGAGACAACCACCCTGGAAGGGGTTGCTTTCTTACTTTCCTTCTCTCTCACTCTTGTTTGGACTCCATCTGTCTCTGGCAAGCACATGCACCTTTTATTAAGAGGCCAGCAAGTGGCATGAGGTTAAGGTGTTGGACTCCCACGTGACAGACCATGATTAGGTCCTGGACCCAATGGCTTAAAACTCATGCCAGCGTGTGCTTGCATGCCCAGAATTCCAAGAGGAGAATGGAGAAGGAACTGCGGCATGGCCAATCCCTGGCATTTCTCACTTTCTGTCTGTCTCTCAAGGGAATGCATATGCCCTATAGCAAAAATCTCTCCCAAAGAAAAAAAACATAAAACAAAACAAAAAAGCCTTTGGGTGGCTTTAGACTATTTATATATTGGTAATTAAAAAAAACTTGACTAAGAATAGTTGATTTTTTCATAGACATATCTAATCAGTTTCACATGTATAGTGCCCCTTTATATTTGTCACGTATTCTAAAATTTAAAACGCATGTTCTATATAGTTGTGTAATAATACATTTTTATAAATTTCTTTCTCTTTTTCTTATGGTTTACAATTACATTAGCAAAAACTATTAAAATTTAGTAAGACTATAAAACTCCATGAAAATTCTGCATATATTGTCACTCTTTATAAAATAATCTCCTCTATGTTAATATTCTAAAAAAAAAATTGTTACATGGCTGCTAACTAGGTTAAGTATTAGGAGATAATTCTGTTTTCCTTTTCATTTTTTCCTTTTAAACAGATCTTAGCATTAGGACTCTATTATTCAACAAAGTCATTTAACACCCTTCAATGTCACTGTAAATTGAAATAGGGATTCTTTTTATTAGAAAGCCTACGACACTGCAATAAACATGATGGAGTACAAATAACACCAATTCTGGTATTATCACAGCCAAGTTGGTGAAATATGTCAGGCAACTACAAGACAGATTTCAGTATTTTCTTGCACCAAAATAAACATGTGCTTTTTTTTTTTTTGGAGAGGTTTTCGCTATAGGGCACGTGTGTTCGCCAGACAGACAGAGAGAGACATAGAGACAGAAAGCGAGAAATCACCCCCCACAGGGGATGGTCACGCCGCAATCCCTTCTCCTCCATTCTCCTCTCGGGATCCTGGGCATGCACACACACGCGCCCGGCTTGAGTTTAAGCCACTGGGTCCAGGACTCAAACCGCTGTCGACTACATGGGAGTCCAGCGACATAGCCAATATGCTAATTGCTGGTCCCACCATGTGCTTTAATTAAACTTTTTTTTTTCTTTTTTTGGAGAGGTTTTCGCTATAGGGCACGTGTGTTCGCCAGACAGACAGAGAGAGACATAGAGACAGAAAGCGAGAAATCACCCCCCACAGGGGATGGTCACGCCGCAATCCCTTCTCCTCCATTCTCCTCTCGGGATCCTGGGCATGCACACACACGCGCCCGGCTTGAGTTTAAGCCACTGGGTCCAGGACTCAAACCGCTGTCGACTACATGGGAGTCCAGCGACATAGCCATTACGCTAACTGCTGGTTCCCAGCTTTAATTAGACTTTTTACAAACCTTTCAAAATACTCTCATACTATCATATTAGATTTACTGCAATGTCTTTTTTTTTTTTATCAATTGTTTTGTTTGTTTGTTTGTTTTGCCATAGGGTATGAGTGCTAGCCAGAGAGAAAAAGAGGGAAACTGAGACAACCACCCTGGAAGGGGGTGCTTTCTTACTTTCCTTCTCTCTTTTTCTCTCTCTCGGACTCTGTCTGTCTCTGGCAAGCACATGCACCTTTTATTAAAAACAATTAAGAGGCCAGCAAGTGGCATGAAGGTTAAGGTGCTGCACTCCCATATGACTGGCCGCGATTAGGTTCATCCCCCGAGGGGATGGCCATACTGCAATCCCTTCTCCTCCAGTCTCCTCTCAGAATTTTGGTGCACATGCACCTGGTGTGCACTGATCTGGGAACTGAACTCCAGAGTCAGAGATGTGGGATTTGGTGCCTTAAACATCAGGCCACTTGTTGGCCCAATTGACGTTATCTTAAAAATGGATTCAAATGTAGTTAATTGGTGATGTTCCCAACTAGGAAAAAAAAACTTCAATCTTTTCTTGAAACTATTATCACTTTTCTTCTGAACTGTAGTTTTCAAAGAATTTAGGGACTAAACTATAAACAGGCTACATATCACACAATCTATGTTTGGCTAACTATTAAAAAAAAGTGGTTGTTATCCATGTGATCAACCTCAGTGTTAACTCTCAGAATTTCAGCTGTCAAGTACTAAAATCAGTGGAGCCTTACATGTAATTAAAACCTCCAGGTTACAGGAGCCTGATTCTACATGGCTAACGACATGGCCCTGGACACTTAAAAACACACCCCATTACAGTATGCTTTCTTCCTCTCCCTCCTTCTCTAACAAGCACACATGTCCTCTGGCAAAACAAAACAAAACAAAACAAAACCTTCCTCAAAAGAGTGCTCAGGGGTCAATAGGTGGTATGGTTAAGGGGCTAGACGCCCACATGGCCAACCACAAAATGGCTTGAAAATCACACCAGGTACGTTTGCATGTGTGTCCAAAATCCTGAAAGAACAGAAGATAAAGGATTGCAGAGCATCATTCCTGGGGTGGTGGGTGATTTCCCACTTTCCCTATTTCTCTCTCATGTGCCCAATGGCAAAAAAAAAAAACATAAAAAGGAAAGAAAGTGCTCACGAAAAAAACTTACATTAAATTTTATTTTTCAGAAAACAAGAACAGGGAGGATCTAATCCAGTCATGAGTACTGGTTTTAATCTGACAATTTCTAGAAAGCTTTCTTCTTACATAAAATAACATTTGTTAAACTAGGTATGCAAAATTTACGTTGAATTGTTCCATTTCAATATCATATTAACACCAGATCCAATAATCAAGCAAATGCCTGAACACTCACTCTGTTGCTTCCTACAGTTGCAAATACTAATGGGTCTCCTTCTTTACTGTGCCAGTTAAACTGAACTCCAAACAATGGTTGGTTATGATCTTCCTATAAAATAATCATGAACAAGAAAAATTAATATCTTAGAAACCAAAAACTGGTAGTAAATAAACCTTGTCACATCTAACTTTTTCCCACAATGCAACTTTAATTCTGTGTATCATACATAAGCCAACTTTTGACACTAAAATTAAAAGATCTCTACTAGTCCAGTTTTCACATCTTAACATACTGTGTATAATTTTTATAACAATCAGATATTTATTTTTAAAAATATTTATTTATTTCCATTTGTTGTTGTTATTATTACTTATTAATTTGACCAGAGAAAGAGAGTGAAAGGGAAATTGAGGAAGCAAGCCACCAGGTCTGAGACTCAAACCTGTGGTCAGCCATGTGGGAGTCCAGTGCCTCTAACCACCACACCACCTCCCAACCCCAACAATCAGATATTTAAATCATAGGTTAGATAACTAAAAACATTTTGTATTTTCCTTTTATTTTCTTAAATCTAATCATATTCTTCTGACTCAAAATACAGTGGGTAATTTTGGTAGATGCATTTAATACCTTGGACCATAAGGACACAATTTATTTTTCTGAAACAGGAAACTAACAAAAGGTTTTTTTGTTTGTTTGTTTTTTGAGAGGTTTTTGCTATAGGGTGTGTGCCCTCACCAGAGAGACACAAAGTGAAAAATCACCCCCCGGGGGTGATGGCCACACCACAATCCCTTCTCCTCCATTTTTCTCTCGGGATCTTGGGCACACACGCACACGCGTCCAGCATGAGTTTAAGCCACCGGGTCCAGGACTTGAACCATGGTCGACTACATGGGAGTACAGTGACATAGCCATTACACTAACTGCTGGTCCCAAAAGGTATCTAAAAGTTAATATAGCTTCTTTAGAATTCATTACATTGTATTGGGCTTTACTTTTCTTTGTAAAGTGAGTATCTTTAACGGATTCCACTCAAATCATTGCTTTCTGTTAGCTCTGTAGAAACAATTTCAAATAACCTCAAATTTTGGTCTTAAAAGAAAAACATCAGGACCAGCAGTTAGCGTAATGGCTATGTCGCTGGACTCCGACATAGTCGACCTCGGTTCAAGTCCCAGACCTGGTGGCTTAAACTCACACTGGGCACGTGTGCGTGCGTGCCCAAGATCCTGAGAGGAGATAAATAAAATAAATTACTAAATAAAATTTAAAAAAAAAAAAAGAAAAGAAAAATCTCAGAAAGTTGTATGAGTGAGACTACTTTAACATGTGGAGTCAGGGGAAGGGAATACTTACTGTAACTTTGCAATTATCAACAGGTTATGAGAAGATATACAAAAAACAATTATTCACTTTTGTTCAAAAAGTTATTTTTGGGGCCAGCAGGTGGTATGGTGGTTAAAGTGGCCAAATCCCACATGGTTGACTTTATAGTTTGAGTCTAGGATCCAATGGCCAAATCCCACATGGTTGACTTTAGTTTGAGTCTAGGATCCAATGGCCTAAAAATCACACTGAGCACAGTGCATGCATGCCCAAAATCCTGAGGAGAATAGAGAAAAACGGACTGAGGCATGGCCACCACCTCCAACTCCAGAGGATATTATCTTTCTCCCTGTGTCTCTCTTCAGCTGCACATGTTACATGGTAAATTAAAAAAAAAAAAAGAAAAAGTTATCTTTCAGCTTTAGGATTTCACTGGCAACCTCCTGGCACTTAACACTCAACTTTCATGTGTTAAGGCAATGTCTTCACTTTTAAAGTATAACAACTTCTGAGCCAGCCTGCAGCTCAATGGTAGCTTGATGATTAAGGTGGCTGTACAGCACATGACCAACTGTGAGGTTCAAGCCCTAGACTACAGTATACCTAGCATGTGTGCCTAAAACCTTGAGAGAAAGGATTGCAGCTACCTCTCTGGGAGTGGTTTTCTCACTTTCCCCTTCTCTGTCTCTGGAGCAAGTGCACATGCCCTATAGCTAATTGAAGAAAAAAAAGTTTAACAACTTTCATCCTTTCAGCATTTCAAAAGTCAGTCTTAGGCTTCTGGTACTTAATTTAAATTGCAATTAAAACCATCTTCCAGATGTACTACCTAAAAGTAATGGGTTAATATAAACAGATATTGACATGAAACTTTAACAGACATCTTTTTTTTTAACATGCTAAAATTAATTCCTTTCCTTTTATGCGGGTATCATTTGACACACTGAGCACTGAATTTCTGCTATACAGACAAGAAAATATATACCTCCTTATGCTTTCCTAGAAGTAAACTTATCTTTTTAGAAAAGACTTCAATTTACATATTTTTGAGATAACAATGTATATTTTTTCCTTAGTGTAGGAAAAATAAGAGTTCAAAAAGCAGAAAGTGTATGTACATATGAAAGAAAATATTGTAAATAAACATTAGTAATCCCTTTCATAAAATAAATAAAAATATCATTAAGGACACAGTACCTTATAAAACCCCAACCCGTTTACCCCCAAACACCAAATATCCAAAGGTTGTTAAATTTTAATGCCTTTGTCTTTGAAAACAATTACAAATACAGCAAAGGGCAAAAGTTAAATAGTAAAAAACTTCAGAAATGGGGGACCAGCAGGTGGTGTGATGGTTAAGGCACAGGAAACTCCCACATGGCCGAAGATGGTGTGAAGCCCCAGACCAGACGGCTTGCTTTCTGACTTTCTCTCTCTCTCTGTGTCTCTTTCTGGTCAAATTAAATGAATGAATAAATAAAATTAAATGAATAATTCTTAAAAAAAAAAAAAAGAAAAAAACTGTAGAAATGAAGACATCTGTTTCAATTTATACTAACTCAAAGATAGAGTCACATTCAGTTCTTTTGAGTAACTAGTACCAGAAGTGACTTAAGTTTTTAAAGTTTTACTGGAAATATGAAGAGTAACATTTCCCAAAATTGTTTATTTGAATATAAACAATACAAAATTAGCCTGCAATACCTGTCTTACACATTTAAATTAAAACATAAAACAAACAAAACTAAATATAGAAAACGCTATCATAAACATGCAGCCTGAATTACCGTAACAAAAAAACAAAACCAAAAAACTTCAAAACACTGAAACTTTAAATAATTTAAAATCAACAGAATATTTTTAGTATAAAATGTATGCTACTGAGAAATAATTCTGAAGCCTAGCATTCTTATCACAGGATCTGTCTTTTCACACATACCTTGAGGCTATTTACACATTTGAAAGAATATTTGCATTTCTTTGACTTCCATTTTCCCTTTCCCCAACTTTTCCTTCCAGGTGCATTTGGTGTATTTGTAGGTGTATCAGGGCGTTCAGTGTTTGTACCACTTTCTATGCTGACAGCATCATCCTGTAAACAATAAATTAAGAAAAATTACATAAAACAGCATTCTCTCTCTCTCTGTGTCTCTTTCTGGTCAAATTAAATGAATGAATAAATAAAATTAAATGAATAATTCTTAAAAAAAAAAAAAAGAAAAAAACTGTAGAAATGAAGACATCTGTTTCAATTTATACTAACTCAAAGATAGAGTCACATTCAGTTCTTTTGAGTAACTAGTACCAGAAGTGACTTAAGTTTTTAAAGTTTTACTGGAAATATGAAGAGTAACATTTCCCAAAATTGTTTATTTGAATATAAACAATACAAAATTAGCCTGCAATACCTGTCTTACACATTTAAATTAAAACATAAAACAAACAAAACTAAATATAGAAAACGCTATCATAAACATGCAGCCTGAATTACCGTAACAAAAAAACAAAACCAAAAAACTTCAAAACACTGAAACTTTAAATAATTTAAAATCAACAGAATATTTTTAGTATAAAATGTATGCTACTGAGAAATAATTCTGAAGCCTAGCATTCTTATCACAGGATCTGTCTTTTCACACATACCTTGAGGCTATTTACACATTTGAAAGAATATTTGCATTTCTTTGACTTCCATTTTCCCTTTCCCCAACTTTTCCTTCCAGGTGCATTTGGTGTATTTGTAGGTGTATCAGGGCGTTCAGTGTTTGTACCACTTTCTATGCTGACAGCATCATCCTGTAAACAATAAATTAAGAAAAATTACATAAAACAGCAATAGTGTATTTAACAGCAAATAACTTTGTACTAGGAAGATGATGACTCACATAAAAGGAGGAATTTCTATAAGAAATGGAAATATTTATTCTTGCCTCCAAATAAAGGTAAAAAGTAATCCAGTTACATGCTAGAGTTTTATAGTTTATATTTCAGCAAAAATGAAAACAAAATATTAATCAGAATAACAACAGAGGAGCAACATTGTCATTAAATAATAAAGCACTGATCTGTGCCAACCACTGTAACCCACTGGGTCATTTAATCCTTACTGCTCTTCACAGAAGAAACCATTAGATAAGGAAGTGTTGACAGAGTTTAAATGCTCTCCTGTTAGAAAGGGTTGCTGGATTTCAACCCTGAAACTGTGACTATTAAATGTGACTGATGTACATGTCTTCATAATGCTACTCAGTTTGGAGCATGAGCCTAGATAACCATTTAACGGCAGGACTGTTAGTACTGCCTACTTTAGATTTAGTTTTAAAACATCCTGTTATTTAAGTTTGCTTACTTATAACAAATCATTTAGAATTATTTTCAAGTCCTACATATTTCTGTGCCTATTTATAAATGAAATTTGTCTCATAGTAAACTGATATGGAAGGACTCTGAATTCATAAATAACTCAAGGCTGATAGCTAGCTGCCTGAAATTCCTGCCCTCAGCTAACTTTGTGCCCCTCCCTGGAGATACAGGATAACCTGAAAACTTGAATAGATTAGTACCTAGAATAGCTTAGACTTGCTTCTCTGACTCCTCCCTATGACACTGAGTAGAGCAGGTTCTGAGCCCATTACCCACCCAAAATCTCCTCTTCCCCAATTCCCCCATAAAAGACCATGTTCGGGGACCAGCAGGTGCATGGTTGTTATGGTGCGGGACACTCCCACATGGTTGACCATAGTTCAAGTCCTGGACCTGGCAGCTTACTTTCTCTCTCTTTCTCTGATCGAATTAAAATATATGAATGAGTAAATAAAATTAAATAATTAAAAAAAAAAAAAAAGACCACGTTGAACTCCCAGTCTGGACCAGAGATTCAGTGTGCTAACTCCTCCATGCCCACAGGCATAATGAACTCGACATCTGTTTTTCTGCAACAATACTACACTACTACACAAATACAGTAAAACTACTCATAATAACACTCACACACTAGAACCTTAGATTCTCTATAAAGTAATATCCTTCCCCAAGTACAGAATGACTCCAGGAAACCTTGAAGATTCTCTTAATTTAGACCTTATCTCCAGTCCGGAGGACATATTAATGACCCTCTAATCTCAGAAGAGAATTTCACTCCTTTGAGTAGAGATGCCAAGTCATTTTGGAATAAAGATACTTATTTAAATCTCTGACCTCGGGGCAGCAATTACTAAATTCATTCCAGAGTAAGCCTTTTTTCCATGGCATGCTTATTAACATTTGTTGGAACAGTCTAGGAAACATTGCCTCAGGGAGTATTTCTAAATTATTGCTTCCTAAAGCTAGTTTTACAATATTACAGAAGGTTAAAAATTAACTAGAGTGTCAAATAGCATATTAAAAAAATCATTATTAATTCACTTAAAAACAATATGGCATTATACAATTCTTCAGAGTTTTCAAAACTTTAATGGCTCCAAAATGAAGCACTTTTTAAAAAAATACACTATTCTGAACTGTACTGATTACTGAGCATAACAAAGAGATAAAGTGGATGGCAGATACCACAGGCTGTGCACTGGAGTCAGAACAGTAGTTTGAATTCTGGCCCAAACTGCTTAATCCACAATGTACATGCACAAAATCCTAATGAAAAGGAGGAAAGGGATCATAGCGTGACCACGCCCCTATGGAGGGTGCTTTCTCTCTCTCCCTCCCTCTCTAGCTGGCCAGTGTATGCATCCTCTGGCAACTAAAGAAAAAGAGACAAAAGGACAGAGTAGTAGGTGGCACACATTAAGTACTCAACAAACACTTGAATTATAATTTAATGCAAATGCCTAAGTCTTTATAGAAATATAAAATGTAAAATTTGGTTTCCTAGGTCAAAATCACAATTTCTACCTCACCCTATTTCTCCCCACAGTTCAGTTGTATTTACATGTAAAATCAAACGTAGAAAATAATTGTGTCTCAATGGGAAATCCTACATAATCTGTAACACGCCCTCCATTTAATTATGGCCTTCTTCATTGTCTTTAGGGCCCTCCCTATCAAGCTCTGGTAAGATATGTCAGTGCTGCTGACTTTTCATTTTCACCACCTACCTAGGATTAGTGAGGATTACAGTGGCTGCATCTGTACTGAACATGTGAAGATTTCATTCCTTGTCATTTTTCCCTCAACAATTCCCAGCAGATACTGAGGGACAAGTGCATAGGTAACTTGAAAAAGCATGCAAATTTTGTCTCCACAGTAGTTCAAAATGTCTTCCCCTCCACTCAGTGGAAAAAGTTTTTGCTCTCCATTCCCAATTCATCTTTATATTCCTTTTTTCCAAGTAAATCTATTGTTTCAATTTATCTGGTGGAATTGTTAACATTTGCCTGGTTATCTCACAGGAGTAAAACAAAACTTTTAACACACGTTCACTTACCTTTTCTCTGAAAAGTTACCTTTCAACACTAGAAAAATGAAATAATAATAGAATTCTCTTGGACATTTGAATGCCATTCATTTCATCTTGACTAAACACAGAGCTGCCAATCAAGAGGTCACACAAGGCTGTTCTGTAGCTCAGTGTTTGAGGGAGTCAGATAACACTCTGCTGACTACAATTCTGATCCCAGCCCCAGTTGCTTGAAAAATGCTGGGCACATGTGCGTGCATGCCCCAAATCTTAACAGAATGGAGAAATGGAGGCAAAAGATGACAGTATAACCACGTCCCATGGTGTGGTAGGCCTAGCATAATCTCTTGCATGTGCACCCACTCACAATTATATATAAAAAAAAGGCAACACAAAATGCTGTAAATAGAGCACAATGTATATTTTACTTCTGATCACTTATTTACCCATTTCTTCCAAAGGCAAATCAAGATTGGATCAAGTAAAAAATATATACAGTCATGAGGGTTTCATTTAATATTTAAATGAGAATAAAACCTTTGCTGAGTGTCTAGTATGTGTACAAGCAGACCTTACCCAGTACAATGTAACTACCCCTACCTCTCCTCAAAGTACAGAATGATACTGTGAAAAAGATAAGGCAACAGCTACTGAACAGTAATATGTCCCATAATCTTACCACATATTACTTAAACAATACTTAAACAAGCATATTCAGATCAAGCTCTGTGATCTACTACACTGAAGTAACTATTAGAAGTGAGTGTTCTTCCTGAAACTATCCTGCGGGTCACATGATCTTCAAAATAAGTTTGACAGAAATTCAATCTTATTTTTAAAACAGATTTTTGCAATAGGGTGAGTGCACCTGCCAGAGAGACAGAGAAAGTGAAAAATCAACCCCCAAAGGGAATGGCCCTTCTCCTCTCAAAATTTTGGGCACATACACATACATGCCTGGCATGACAGCCAATTTATATTATGTCCTGGGGACCAGCAGGTGGCGTAGTGATTAAGACACTTGATTCCCATGTGGTTGATGGTGGTTCCAGTCCCAGACCTGGCAGCTTGAAAATCATGCTGGGCACCTGTGTGTGTGTGTGTGTGTGTGTGTATGTGTGTATGTGTGTGTGTGTGTACCCAAAATCCCAAGAGGAAAATGGAGACGGGAAAGCAGTGTGGACATCCCTCCTGTGATTCCTCACTTTCCCGGTGTCTCTGTCTCTATCCGGCAAGGGTACATGCCCCGTGGTAAATCTTTAAAAAAAATAATAAAATAAATTATGCCCTTTCAATTATTTGACTTAACAGTAGTTAAGTATTCAGGGAAGAGACAGGGAAGTTACCTTAACATCAACTAAAAAACACATTCTACCTGATTGCTTTTGGTCTTCTTGTCCTTACCACTCCCTCAAAAGTAAAACCACTGTTCTTATTAGTTTCTTTCTAAATTCTTTATTTTTTTTTTTTTGCTACAGGATGTGTGCACTAACTAGAGAGAGACAGAGAAAGAGGGAAAGTGAGAAATCACCCCCCAAGGGGGGATGGCCACACCACAATCCTTTCCCCATTCTCCTCTCAGGACTTTAGGCGTGGACGCATGTATACCAAGTGTATTTTTCAGGCCAGATCTCGGATTCAAACTATGAAGTCGGCCATGTGGGATACAATGCCTTAACCATCAGCTGACCCTATGAAATAACTTTTATACAACATTCTCTTCTCCCTTCCCTACTGCTTCCAATAACCTACGTTTAGATCAGGAGGTTCTGGGTGGAATTCAGAGGGCCTGTGAACTCAAATAAAGGAAAACACTGCAACTGCATTTTTACCACCTTAATCTGATATTTAGCACTTATTTCTATTACAATGCAGGTAACATACATGCTAATGTTGTTTAGTTGTGACTTTGTCACCAATGGAAATAGAGTATTTTTATATCAAGTATTTCAATAAATCATCTATGCCAATCACTACTATAAGATTTACTGCTACATCTCAATAGTTAATGTGCCAAAAAAAATACATATACTACTATATCTAAAATTTCTTTTAAAAATCATTTTATATTTTAGTTTTATAACTGACCTTGTTTGCATCTGCATATACTGGGGTATTTTGTACATTTACAAATGTCCCTTAAATTGTCCTCATTCTAAATTGGCTTGACATTTCACTATACTCTGCCTGATTATTATGTGGAAAGGCCAGAAATATTATTCTATGTCGTCATAAAACAGTTAATAGTAATTATTATAAATAACTTTTTATACAGTACAGTACTTACTATAGAGCAGGCACCCTTCTAAGCACGTTATCTATATTATCTCATTTAATCTTCACAAATACCCCATGAGTTAAATACTGTTATTTCTCCCTCTCCTTTTTTTTTTTTTTTTTTTTTTTTA